GGTAATTTCAACTTTTCAACTTTTTCTCGGCCATCATCATCATCATCATCATCTTTGCTCTTCTTCTTGTTCGTTCGTTTGTTTTTCTGCCGAATCCAAACCCATATTTTTGTTCAGGCAAAAAAAAAATTAAAAAAGTTATTTCGCTCTACTTGTCTGCGTGTTTCTGTATTGGTATGTGTGTGTCCGTGTGTCCATCACATTGTAATGGAAAATCTTTATTTTGGAATCAGTTATATCCATAATGATAGGCTCATCTCTCTCCGACACACACACACACACACACACATACCAAACTGAAAAACACATCAGGCCATGTCAGCAAAGATAGATCTCCCATCGAGGATGAGATTGCCGGGTTGATGGCTGCATGTAATTTGTCCATTAAAGTCATACAGTGAAAGAGAAGGAAATGCGATTCTAATCGAAAAATTGCTTTTCTTTTTTTTGTTAGTCTCGAATCGATCCACATTCACTTGCATATTAGCCGCAGGTAATAATGTGGGTACATTTCTGCATTGATGTTGGTGTTGTTTTCTGATATTAACACTTTTTTTTGTTCTTGGAACAACCCTTTACTTGGTGGATCGTTTATAAAATTCAAAATGAGCCATTTATTATTGATATAGTTTCTGGGTGATTGCATTTAGATCAATCAACATTGATTAGCATCATGTAAATTTAATGCATTTTTTCGGATGGATGTGATGATTCATACACATGTATACATAGATACAACATTCGGTTTTTAATTTCTTTCTAAAAATACCCGTTTTCGTTCAGGTAGTGATGATATATTCTTAACATGAATGACATTGGCCATTTTGGTTCACATTTCTTTAGGCTGCTGCTCGATTGTCAACTTAACTGTCACATATATCGTTGCTGTCGAATCGAATCGTTAATCGAATCTGACGATTGATGTTGTATCATGAATACTTGAGCAGGTTTTGTCGTGGCGGTTGGCTCTTCTTGAATTTTCCAATGTTGAATAATATACACATACACACGCACACACATTACATTTGCATGACAAGTAATGTTGCTTCCCATTTGCATCATCATCATTTCGAGGTGAATGAATGCATCATTTTCTTTCAATGTTGATGATGATGCTATTATTGCCTTTCTTCACTATAATAAATTCCGATATCTTTAGATGCATCCATTCATCCGCGGGTTCTGTATGATAATGGCTCCAAGCCATTGTTCAAATTCAATGAAACCAGAGAGAACCGGCGTGCAGCCAATTAACACACACCCCTTTCCATTATGAGAATAAAAATCACAGAGTAACAATGAATCTGGTTAATGTGTATGTGTGTGTGAGAAAGAAAAGAAATTAGCATATTGATTAGATAATAGTATAGTTCCATTGTTTGTTTTGTTTGAATATATCCATTTTCAGATTGCAGTGACAAACATCTGTAGGCCTATTTTAATTGGTTGATTTCTGAGTTTTTTTCATTTTGTCGTTTTTGTAACAAAAAAAAATAACCAAAAGGAATTCTGTATCTGTTATTATAAGAATTCAAAAAAGAATTAAAAGTACACGTAGATGTACTATTCAAATACGCAGTTACATACAACATCTTTCTCGAAAATGATCATCTTTTTTTCGAAAAAAATAAATAATTTGAAGAAAATAAATTACAAAAACAAACATTGATTGATTTTCGTTTTACAATTGGTGAAATTCATTGGTAACTCTTTTTTGATCTAATTTTTCACATCGTTATCAAAAACTTTTATGAAAAAAAGGTATTTGAATTATTTAATTGTGAATGTTGTTGTTTCATTTTTTTTCTTTTATTTCGAAATCAATTTGTAGCATATAATGATTAACGTTATTTGTATTATATTTAGAAAACATTTAACTTTTCTCATTTAAAAAACTGGACATATTGTATTGTAGATTTTTTTTTGACCGTGGTCGCAAAGTTTAATCAAGAATAATGAAGCTCAAAATTGACTGCTTGACAGATTTATGTGTTGATCGAATTTTTAATCTTATATCATTTGCCATTCTATTGCTCATTTCAATCATTCAGAAGAAATTTTTTTGGGGATTCGAATCGAATTTTCTTTCGATTCTGTTTTCCAAATCGGTGGAGACCATTTGAGGGATGAAATGGCGCGGGAATTAAACATTTGGTGGCCCCTTCTCTCAAAATGAGTTTGATTGTCTGATTGAGTATGTATGTGTAAGAGGAAAAGGAGGGTAATACTGCTGCTTCTGGTGCTGGTGGTGATAATTACCAATCCAATGAGCCATGCAATTGTCAATTTCATTTTGTTTATAAAAAAAACGGTCATTACTAGGGCGACAGTATCTATCAGTATTGTCTGGCAGCCAGGTGTTGGCAGTCATTCTATGCTGTTCCATTCTTGATAATCAGACGATTCCATGTTGTAGTAGAAAATTGGACCGACAATTCTTTCAAATGATAGAGTAGCATGGCTCCCCCAATTGGAAAACTTACCCATCCCAGTGTAAAACAACATCTGGCTAAATATCTCATCATATATTCATCCGATGCATTGATCACATAAACTTTACCCTCAATGCATTGAATGGCCAAAACTGTAATGATGATGACCACCGCTGTGCGACCCATCACATAATAATAAGATTATGATGGCAATCCTTATATATTCATCATATCGAATTGATAAATTACCGGTCGGTTAGTAGATAGTGTTGCTGACAACAGTTGGTAATTCGTTGACCACTGGTTGGCTCCCAAATCATCTTTCAAAATTATTGAAAATTGGTAACGTAATTCATTGGAAATTCACATTTCAGCATTGTGTTTTGTTGGCGATGTTTATGTACCATTACATTACATAACATTCTATGCATGCATGTCAATATTGTATTGTATATTTATGTGATGATGACTTGTCATGTGTTTTCTTTCTAATATCTCGACGAATTTACTCCTCTGGCCATGGTAAACAATAATCATCTAGGGTTTTTTAGTTCTCATGTTTTTTTTCCTCATTCTCTCTCTGTCCATATATGAATTGTTTGGTTTGTAGTGCTGGCAAACAAACCCAAGGACTATAAAACTCAAACTAGACGATGTAATGCCAATGTGATCAAGTGAAAAAAGAATTGATGATGATGAGAACATCATTTCTCGTGTATTCGTATTTTGTATGTTTTTGTTTGTTTTTGTATTTAATTACACAAAATAACGAATGTTTGCCCTTGTTCCATACACACACACACACACACTCAAACATTCATTTTAGCTGTCAATGGCCTGGTGGCGGTGCATCTTTTTCTCTCTCTGTGTGTGTCAATGAAATGGAATGAATGAAAACGTGTATTTCTTGCTATAGCTAACTTAAATAAAAAAAAAATGTCTATAATGTGACTATATGCTTCAATCTCAATTTGTCAACTTGTGAATTTGGACCGTTGAATCGGCGCCATCAACGTCGTATCCATCGTTTCTCCATTAATATCAACTTATTTCGGCTATTGATGGACCAACTTTTTTTTAAATCCAACTTTTATTGCTTAACAACGAAAGCAAAGTTAGTCGGTTAGTAATAATAATAATAGTGAAACGAATGAACGTGCCATTTACAGTTAGCATAGTGAAAGCCAAAGGGATTTCATTCGCTTCGTTTGGTATGTGTGTGTGTGTGTGGTTAAGCCTGGTTTTTGCGATGCAAATGTAATTCCTGTGAGGCAAGCACAATTGTCACCCATTTTCAAATTGAGGCCTTCCCAAATCGGATTGTCTCAATATTCTTACTGTTCCTCGTCATCCTAGTATCTTCATTATAGCATCAACAAATATATTGCCTTTATTCTTGAATAGTATCCCCCCCAAAAAAAACAACAAATAAACAAAACAGAATAAAAAACATATACCGATTCTATCAATATGATTGTCGTCGTTGTCATTTTAAGATTTTGAATCAATGATTGCATCGGAAAATCGTTTTGCTTTCATATTTCCTATATCTTCTGCATTTGATCATATAATGTCTATATATTTTATATACTAATGGACATTGGCAATAAATGTGTGTGTGTGTGTGTGTGTGTGTGTGTATTTGCAAATAACAAAAAAACCATGTATAAGATCATATCATTGAAAGCCATTTAGAGATATTGGTGTGTATGTGTGGATTTATGTATGTATGATTGATGTGTTGCCGTGTCTTAATCGATGTACATTCAAAACAATAATAATAATAGTAATACATTCATATTTCAAAATGCCATAATTCTTCTAAATAATGATGTAATAGATTCAAGAATTGATCGCCTACAGGCGCAAATACTTTTGCGGAAAAGAACGGATATCCGGAAACTGTTATTTTTACGACCATATTTACATCAATTATTATGGTTTCATCTATGAAATTCAACTATTTAATACACACACACACACACACGTGTCCATTCGAATAAAAAACGATCATACTAAAGTTTTATCATTCTCTTTCTCTCAGGTATCATCCTATTTCAAAAATTTGATTAAATTGATGAAATGAGCCATGTGAATGATTCTATCATCATCATCATCAATCATAGTCAAGTTTTTTTTTGCCACAACTAGATACATTCATTGGAAATAAACTATTCACAGAATGACAGCCATTGACCGTAATAGCAATCTGCCATGAATGAATCAAATACCAAATGTACATACATAAAACACGAAATTCAATCCAACTATTTCTGATGAATTTCGATTAAGTTGAATTCATTAATTATGATTATTATTAGCCAGACATAATGAATTGGTCAATCATGAACAGTGAACTAATGGTTGAATGATTTAATCATTCAACCATTGCATCAAATGTCATATTGCAATGCCAAATTGTCATTACAGCTCAATTATAGTTGACCACTACTTTGTTTGGCAATTGAAATCGACTTTTACATCTATTATTTCGTTCTCATGCATATTTCAGATATCTAATTTGACTAATTTCTTTTGGTATTTTTTTGTTTCTTTTTTCTTTCACAGTGTATAAGTCCAGGTCATGATCACTAGCTCATATCATTCGTCAAATGATGAATCCATCGGGATCATCATCTATTTGGCCGCTCCCAACATTACATCATCATCATCATCATCATCCTGATCAAAATCAACCCCTTGCTTCGCTTGTAACGGATAACGACAAATCAACTAGTTCGGCCGCCATTCTCATGGCCAATCAATCGTCCTTGTCACCATACAGCAATGGAAATGGTGCCAATGTTAGCATAGATACTGAATCACTTCTTTCCGGTTACAGTGACCATCGTAACAAGAATAAAGGATTGAATGGTAGTGCTACAGCAGCATACGCTTGTCTATTGACCAACACGACGGCTGTAAATAATTCGTCTGTAATTGGAACTGCAGTGGCCCCCTCGCCAATGGTTGCGGCCACACCTAACGTAATCCTTAATCCATACCACGGTAATTATCAGGCCAACACCAGTCATACGGACGCCCAAGTGCATAGCGTAGTTTCGATGCGAAGCGCTGGTCGACAATCACATCATTCAAATCGAAATGGCCTTGCAACAAAGACGATCGAATCGGGTTATCAGATCAAGGGTAACCCTCAGGAAATTGTTCGGGTGTCGATGTCGTCTCCCGACGATCACTGGAATGATAACACAACCGCTATCACAGGAAACACAAGCGATCAATCTGGATCAATGGATGATCTCAGCAAAATCGAGAACGTGAGCCACACGATTAACAAGCTCACTGTCTGGCAGCTATGGTCTGGAACGATAGTGGCCATTGTCCTGTCTGTATGTGCCTTTTTATCTCCGATCGTAATGACCCTCCTTCCTCGACTCGAATTATTCGACTTTAAGGCTAAAGAATGTGGCCCAGAATGTGATGGTCTTGTTCTAAGTTTCCTGTTTAAACAATTAATTCTGGCCACAGGAAGCTGGGCTGTCTTTTTTCGTCGTCCACGTTGGACGATGCCTCGTATCTGTGTATACAGGAGCACGGTATTAGCTCTTATCGTAGTATTGTTGGTAGCATATTGGCTTTTCTATCTGGTCCGTATCGCCGATAAGCGATTAAGCGATGAGGATACTATCAGCTACTACAGTGTCGTAATGTTTGCCATATCGTTGGTCGACGCCTTGTTATTCATTCATTTTCTGGCCATTTTATTGCTTCGAAGCTGCCATCTAGATAATGAGTTCTTCATCAAAGTAGTTCGTTCTCCAGATGGCCATAGCCAGTGTTATACGTTAGGACGAACGTCCATTCAACGAGCTTCGATTTGGGTATTGGAAAAGTATTATCAGGATTTTCCCAACTACAATCCATTTCTTGAGCGGTTAGCAAACAGAAAAATCCGCAGAAATAGCCTATCTCGACAAGGACTTAAATTCTACGACGTTGATGGTGTCGTAGATCCCAGCTCGGCCAACAAATCGACTAATGGCCAGAATAATCCTCTACAATTGAGTCCTAAATCAATATTGGCTCAGAATACTGCAGCAAATGCGGGTCGACGATGGCCGAAAAACGCTGCTCACCTAAACGGAGGCAGTAATATCTCGGATGGCCGAGGTAATCGACGCCATGATCGCGACACGACTAGTCATCACAGCGGTCATTCGGGACATCACCATCATCGACATCATAGCGATCGCCTGCACGAAATACATGAATATGAACGACGTGTTCGAAAAAGGAAATCACGCCTAATCAACGTGACTGAAGAGGCGTTCACTCATATCAAACGTGTTCAACAACAAAGTAAATAACTTAGTCAAGCTCAAAATAGACATATCACTTATACCTTTTTTTGTTTTGTTTAGGTCATGGCCCCTTATCGACAGCATCGATGAATCCGAAAGAAGCTGCACAGGCCATCTTTCCGACTATCGCACGTACCTTACAAAAATATCTTCGAGCAACACGACAGCAAGCCCGACATTCTGTGCAATCTATACTGGAGCATCTGTCCATTTGTCTCACCTACGATCTTAGTCCGAAAACTTTTCTCGAAAAGTATCTGTCGCCCAATAACTCTCACGTCGGTTGGTCAAAGAATGGTCATTTAGAGACATGGAATCTTATATCCGACACATTGGTATCACGTTCGATCGAATCGGATAGTCAATTTCTGTTACGTCATGAAGATCATAATGTTTGCTTATTGGTTACGATAAATAGTATGCCATACCTAAATCTAATCGAACAAGTGGTCGACTTTGAGCGAACCAAATTCCTGTTCAAATTGAATTCCGAAACCTCTGTTTGACAATCTTCAAAATGCATCTGATTTTCCCTCTTTCTTTCTTTCTCTTGGTGCTAGTGATAGCTGATTGAAACCCTTGTTTGTAAATAATGTGAACTATTATATAAACACCCCTTTCCACGCCATTGTTGTACATTTTATTTTGTATCCTTTTTTCTTATTTACACCTTTCTTTCATTAAAGAATTTTTTTCCTTTTCCAAAACGTTTTTATTTTTTTTGATCATAAATTTACAAAATTGATATATACGATATCGGCTTTTCGCTATTTTATTTGAAATTTGAAAAATCAATTTTTTTGCTTACACATACACACTATCGTGGATTACGATAAATACTGCTAGGCAAAGAATGTAAAAAGAATATTTATGAATTGTTAATTCGAATCAAACTATTTATAGGTTGTGACGATTTCATTCTGATATCATTAGCTCGTTCATATATGTAATCGGTTATTATTGTTTGATGATCATTATCAATATGAATATAACAAGATTAAATCTAACAACAGCAGCAAAAAAACATCATATTTATTTACAAACCATGGATCATCATAATCACAAACATTAAATAATCATTCTCATTCATTCATCATGTGATGAAAAATGATTTTGAATACAGAAAAATAACAAAAAGAAAAACTGAAAATCGATATTCAAAAAAAAGGTAATAAGATATGAAACAAATCAAAAAGCAAAAAAAAAAATGAAAAAATGTCCTAGACCTTGATTTGTTAGCGGTATGCGTGTATTTTTTCATTTTACATGATTCTAATATCAAGTTTTTTTTCGTTTTGTGAATTTATGAATTTAATATGTAACCCTGTGTTATTCCACATCATGTGTATATGTGTGTGTGTGTGTGTGTGAATTGGAAATACAAAATTGAAATCAAGAAAAAGAAAATGCTTTGGTTATATAATCAACAACAACAACAACATCATTGCGATAGAAGAATTTATCGATTTTTTTTCTTTTGACATTGATCATGATCATCACATGTTTTCGATCGTTTTTATTTTTTAGTTCAAGTCTAGGATTTTCAAATTCTTGATTGATTGTATCATAATCATGATCATTCGTAATATTCATTATGAAATCACCATACATTTTTTTCCTCAGAAATCTTAAAATCAAGTCGCATTTTTACAAGATAATTTGAAATGTATATGTATGTGTGAGAGCGAGAGGCTGCTGCTCGTTTTTTTTTTTGGATTTTTCCGTTTTCGTTTTCTATCACTTGTCATGTCATTGATGGTTTTTCAAAAATGAACAGGTTGTTGTTGATGAATTTAGCTATTGATGATCATCAACATGATGTTGTTGTTGATGATCATCAATAGCAAAGTCGGCCATGATGTTGTTGTTGATATTGATGATATTATGTCGATTATTATTATTCATGATGATTAAATCGAGTGCTAAAAGAGTTGTTGCCGGTTTCATTATCATTGATGATGATTCAAAATCAATTTGTTGATTATGATGGAATTTATTATTATGAATTACTCCATTATCAATCGCATGATCATCAATGATGATCGATGTAGGATGTTCCTCAATCTTTGTTATATTCAACGATGATGATTGTCGTCGTGGAACATTTGATTCAATGATTGATTGACAGGTAAAAAATGAAAACATTGTCAATTTTTGACTGAAAATTTTCTAAATTTCAAAAATGAAAATGAAAATGAATTGATGAAATTATCAAATTAAAACATACCCGATATTCACTAGAAACAAAACAATAAAGAATTGGATAAGCAATACCACTCATTGATGTAAATAGAATCAGAATAGCCATAATAGAATAATATGTTTGAATTTGAAAATCACATTGACGAAATAGATCTGGAAATAGATCATTTAATGATTCCATTACCGAAAATGGAAACCAACAAAGAAAATGAATCAATGCAAGTAAAATAATTTTAGCAATAATTTCACGATGTTTTGAAATCAGCCGATTATTCGTTATAAATGGTGTTACGATTATTGTTTCCACAGCAACACGTTTCAATTCACATGCAATGCTTAGATATAGATATAATGTTAGTAATGATGGTATTGAAAATGTGAACATTAAACGTATTAATGTCAACAATATTTGTATTGTACGTCCAAATTGATGGCTAATTTTGAAGAAGAAAATGAAAACAAAAAATTGATAGAATAAGTTTAGAATTGTTTTTTAGTGAATTATTTGATTATTCAATGAATACTTACTACCAAAAAAATGGTATAATAATCAAAATGCTAGCCATCCATACTAACATTATACACAATGTATAATGGCGACGATACCAATATGATTGAAATAGATAACATTGTTTAATGGCAAGATATCTATAAAGTGAACATTTGAATATATTTTTTTTTTTGTTTCAAATTCTTTAAAATATCGTTACACAAACAAACTGAGACATACCTATCGAATGCCATTAATAGATGCATAAATGATGATGCAATAGGTGCAACATAGAAACCGAATCGTAATGATGTTATTATGAAACAATAATAATTTGAACATAATGTTGTTGTTGTTGTCGTTGTTGTTGTTGTTGGTAATATTTCAATTGTTTCCAAATACATTGCCGGTACACATATTGAACTATATAATATAACAGATATTGATAATGATATAAATGATTGTTGTGTATGTGAAAATGATCTTGATGTTGTTGCCGTTGCCGTTGTTGTCGTTGTTGTTGTCGCTGTTGTTGTTGCTATCGATGAAACAACACCACGTACAATCGTAGAATCATTGGATAATCTTTTATTAACTAGATTATTATTTTTATATTGTGATGATGTATTCACCATTGTTGATGTTGTTGATAAACTATTCTGGCGGCTACCACCGCCGGATTGTTCGGCATTACAATAACGATTTAAAATCAATGTAATAATTACAAATAAATTCAATAAAAACGTAATGATTGCCGTTATAAAAATTGACGAACCAAATAACATTTGTTCCCATTCATCAAGCATTTCAACCGGTGCATGTGGTTGACATAAAAGATTATTGTTGCTATTATTATTATGATTAATAATATGAATATCACTTTTATTATCTAGATTTTTAATATTTGTATAATTAATTATTGTTGAATTTATTGTTGTTTCATTATTATTATTATTATTATATAACAACATTGATGATGATGATGGTGATGATGATGATAATGACAATGATGGCGATGAGGTAGAACTATTATTCAATAATAATGATATAATCATTTTTGATTGATTCATTTGTTGACTAGATGTGTGATTATTATCATGATGATGATGATGATGATGATGATGATTATGTTGAGAAAATTGTACATTACCACCACCTAATGAACCACTAATACCGCCATTACTACCTGGCGGTAAATAATGGCCAATAATACCTTGATTTGATTGAATCATATTTTTATCGTTGTTTATTGTTTGGATTTTATTTCAAAAAAAATAAAAATAAAAATATTAGATCAATACATTTTGATCATAAACACACTGTTCACAAGAACATTGTATTGTATTGGTCATCACTGATCATCATCGTCGTCGTTGTCGTTGAATGATTTGAAATGAGGCACACACACACACATACAAAAAAAATTTTCTCGTAATAAATAAATCCATTGGAAACGACAACAATTTTCTTCAAAAAAAAAAAATAACTTGATCCTTTCGAAGTTTCTCTCACTTTTAGAGTGTTTTCTCTTTACCAAATTTCTCTTTGCGTTAATCAATATAAATTTAAAGGCAAAATATTTTTGAAATGAAAATGACAAAATTTTCAATATCCAAAAAAAATCAATTTCGAAATCACACACACACACACACAAACACTGAGAGAACTTGCTTGGATAATATCAGCAGATTAATGAAAAAAATTCAAGAAAAAAGTTAAAAAAAGAAATGAAAAACATAATTTTATTTGGACGATGACTACGACGACGACGACAACAACGGCGATGATGAAGATGTTGAAATGAGAGAAAAAAAACTAAGCCACTTGTATGATTGAATGGATGAATGCAATGGTCATATAATAAAAACTTCAAGTGGCACAAATAATAATCACATTCTTATTGATCAGCAGACGATATTTTTTTTTCTAATTTTTGTTATTTCAAATATCTATTACCAGGAGTCGACAAGCTTTTGGTAGCTGCTTGCTAAACGCTATAGCTTTACATTGGCACACAGTGCTTGGAGTTGAAGACCACTGATCTATACCATTGCATCGTTTAATGTATCGTTTTTTATGTTTGAAAAAAATTAAAAAAAATTTTTAACTTTTCAAATTAATCGAAACAAAATGAATGGATTTTAAGATGCTCTCGATTTTTTTTTGTCACGGTGGAAGTTTTTTTTGCGATGAACACACACACACACACACACGACAACGGCATTGAATGATTAGAAACAATATTGCATTGCAATTGTTGGCGACGAGAGAATTGAATTGAATTGAATGATGATGTTCAAAACAAACTTCAAATTGAATCAAATCAAATCGAATATTTTCTTGTTTTCAGAAAATCCGAGCTTGCGTGATTCGGTGCGTGGTTAAATCAAATTGAAACCTGTATAGATAGATCAAACACATATAAATTGATTATAACGACCATTGATCTTTGACGATAATTATGATTATGATTATGATGTAAAATGGATGCTCAAAACAAAATAAAACTAATTATTATTTTTATTCAAATTAATTTTTTTTTCTTTTCGTTTTTCTTAGTTCAAAAAACTTTTCACTGTAAAATAAAATATTCAGAATTTAATATTTCAAAATTGAATTCAGTTTTTCATTTTGTGTCTGTGTGTGTGTGTGTGTGTTCATGGATTATTTCAACGCCAGAAACACGAAAATAGAGAGAAAAAAACAAACAAACAAACACTTGAAAAAAAACCCAAAGGAATTTATCCGGTGTTGATTTGATCAAAACGAATGATGAATTTGAAATCGTTGGTTTCTTTGAAAATTCGTTATTTATTCAATGAATTTTCATGGAATTTTTTTTTTCGTCATTCATTCAATTCATTTAAATGTCAATAACTTTTTCTTCCGTTTTTCTTCCATCACTTTCAAAATTCATCATCATCATTCAAACTTGTTGTACATAACCGAATCATTCCTTTTTTTTATTCAGTAACTTCTACAAAAAAAAAGAGAAAAAACGATTGAAAAATTTAATCAAAAAAATATGAATTTTTTTTAATTTTAGATTGCTTAGTAAAAAACTCTTGTTTTGACTTTTTTGTATAATGATTTTGTTGTTGTTTTAATAATATTTTTTCAATCCAATTTCATTTCGATTTAATGATGATGATGATGATGATTACGAAATCTCATCATAACGCCATCGACCCGAGAATGTATATATATATATATTGAGATTATAAGGCCAAACAAGTCCTAATCGAATTTGTTTTTGTGTAGTTGTTTTTCGATTTGACGCTGTTATTTATATTTGAAATTGAAAAATAATGGAAATTAAAATATGATTTCAATTTATATTCACACAAATGACTTCGCATATATTTTTTTTTGTTTACAAGTTCAAGGATTTTGGAATCAAACACAAACAAAAATTGATTGCGAGGATTGTATATGATTATGATTGTGTTTATTTTTATGCATGTTTTTTTTCATCCATCCAAAAAGATTTCCATTCTGATTTTGAAAATTTAATTTTATATAATTCTTGATTATTCAAATAAATAAATAAAAAATTAATGTTTGAAATGAAAAAACAATCATTGAATTCATTGCTAATGATGATGATAATGATGACATTTGTCGTTGTTGTCTACCTTCACGGCGACAATTATTTAACCAATGTCGATCACGAATCTGTTGTAGAATGCCTTCTTTATCCATCATATCTAATGTATGATCAAATTCATTGAGCCAATTTCTTTGTTCTTGATTATTATTTAACGTAAACGATTTATCGATGAATGTTTTTGAAAAAGCAATAGCTATATTATTCTGAAATAATTCCTCTTTACGTATTGTTAATTGTTGTGCCATTATGGTCACTGTTGGTGTTGTTACTGATGATCCATTTGATGTTGTTGTTGGCCCATTCGAAATACCAATATCAAAATGTACATTTTTTTTATTATTTTTCATTTCTAACCAAATACGTTGTCGTCGTGCAACATCAATACTAGTATATTCACAATCATGATGATCGACAAAATAATCGATAAATTTTGATTCATCAATCAATACATATCGTTGTCGTTGTAAACGTTGTAATAATGTTGATAATGATGAACGTTCAACAATGATTAAATCATTTAGATAATCAATATTAATTGTTGAATAAAAACGATGTACGGCACCACCTTTGAATATAACACGTACAAGATCGGCTTGATTAAATATATCATGTATAGTCAACATTGGCATCTCATTAACATCATTATCATCATCATAATTAAAATAAAATTGGCCATTCTTCATTTCATCATCATTATTGTTATTGTTTGATTTATTCAAAATGATTGCACAATCAATCGATTGATGATTCATATCGATGAATCGTGAATAATCACTATGATTACGTACGTCGATTCGTATTTTTTGTTGCTGTAAATCCATTTGACATTGTCGACGTTTACGTTGTATTAATTCTTTAAACAACGATTTCGTCAATAATACTTTCATTGTTGATATATAGATTGGTCGTGTGAATATGATATCATTTTGTTCCGCTTCTTTACGTGTATTTAGCCAATTACTACTAATGTCACCAATTGCGAATTCAACATACTATATTATGTGGAAATGAAAAAAAAAATTGATTAGAATTTCATACGAAAAAAAAAACAGAACGGAAAACACAGACACACACAGACACACACCTTTTCGATAATTTCACCGAAAACACCATCATGTGATCGTATTGAACCAATTTGTCCATCATAACTTTGTCGTAATGTAAATTGAAATTTTAGACGATATCCCAATTCTTTTAGTATATCTACACAGAATCCACGATATGGTCCACTTTCACTATAGATAAATGGTGGATTCTATATCGGTGGGCGACGAAAAAAAATGGATCAATTTTTTTTGAAAATAAACCAAATTTAATTTACCAATACGGTTGCACCATTCAATGTGATTACATTATCACTTTCGTCATCATCATCTTGATCTTGTTGTTGTAGATGTAGCTGTTGCTGAATTTCATTCGAATGTTTATCAACAACATCTTCAACAGTGTCGACAATCCATTCACCTTCATTGTTAAAAATTGTAATTTGACTATTAACACTTTCAATAATAATAATAATTATTATTATTAACAATAGTGAAATGAAGCATTGATTTTTATGATTTGCCATGGCCACAATTATCAAAGTTTTTTTTTGCTGTTGTTACGAATCAGTTTTCCAATTGTATAACATTATTATTATTGTTATAATTTAATGCATTGACTGGACGATTATATCGATAAATTGAATAGATATTTGGTAGATCGAAATTTGTTCACATCAATGTGATTGTTATTGTGATCCACCAATGATATAGACGACCCAACAATGAAAAAAAAATATCATCAATTTGAAAATATCAAACCGATTAAATTGTAAACATTGAAGCAAGAGAAATAAGATATATATAATATATAATATTCAAGCCACACCAAAACCGGATGTTATTCAATTTGATCAAATTCAATTAAGATTGTTTAAGCCAAAATGTGTTGCATATGATTGCTGTTATATATAATGAATTGTAACAAAAGTCGAACCTAACGGAAGCAACAACAAAAACAGCAACAAAACATAGATGTCAAAAAAATCAGAAAAAAAACCAGAACCAAAAATTGATTTTTATTCAATTTATTTATTTACTTTTTTTTGTTGTTGAAAATAATATTCCACATTTCAAAAGAATAGAATGGCAAGAATAAAATCATCATAATGAATAAATGAATGAATGACAAGTAAAAAAAAAAAAAAAAAAAAAGAAAACGGAAAATGGAACCAAAAAAAAAAAAATAAATAAAAAGAAAAATTCGTAACATTCAATTACATGCTGCAATACACTCTTCTGACGACCACGATAATGTTTGGAACGAACAAAATTGTTTTTGTTTTTTTTCACGTTTTGAAAATTAAATCAAACACATTCGAACTGAATGAATGAAAAAACAAAAATCAAAAACAGCCAAAAAAAACTTAAAAATATCTATATGTTTTGTTATATCAATGTATATATCAAAGAATATATATATTTTTATTATTATTAATTATGCATGTTCATGTGGGTGTGTGTGGGTGTGTGTATTTGGCGTATATTTTTGAATTTTGTTTTCATTGTGTAACATATACGATTTATGTTTGAGTTATTCCGAATAGCAATAATAATAATAATGATGGTGATGATGATGATAATGATAATGATGATGAGTATGATGACGATGTTAATACAATTCTACTTTGAATATATTATCTTTTTCTACAATTCATCATTCAGTGTTCGATATTCAGATCGATAAATTAATGTTTTTTTTTTGGTTTTGGTATGTGGCTAATAGTAGTGGGCAAAAAAAAAAAAAAGATTTAAACATTTTGAAAATCCTTTTTTTAACATTTGGCATATTATGGTAATGGTGATATTGCTTGATTTTTGTTTTGTTTTTTGTTTTCTGTTTTTTTTTTTTTTTTGTGGACAACAATTTGTGAATATTCAATTGAATTGCGAGAGAAGAAAAAACTTTTGCTTCATTCATGTGATTGAGTTTGATGATAGGCAATATTGATTGATTGTTTGTTGATTTTTTTCTTCGTTTTTAGATTATTGATTTTTTTGGTTGTTGTTTCAAATCAAACTTCTTTTTTTTTTTGGTTTACCTGAGAATCATACAAGTATTCGATGTTGTCATTGTCATTGTTGTTCTTGTTTATTATTGTTGTGATTGGAGCAAAACAAAAAAAAACAAAAAATTCTTTTGAACATTTTGTATGATGTTTTATGCGCGTGTATATGTTATGAGCGTTTGAATGAATGTAGGTAAAATGTCAAGCGAGATCCGTAAAGCATCGAAAGATCAAAATAAAATGAAATGTGAGAACAAATGAATTGTCAAATGAAAATTACACATTATTTACAAATAATAATTCAATTTTTTTTGTTGTATCGAATGAATAAATGAATAACGCTACGGCATTATAACCACTATATGGATTTTTTTTTTGGCTAAAATTAATTGTTGTGAAAAAAAAACAGAAAACAGTATAATGTTTTGTTATTGTGTCAAAAAACAATTTAACCCCTTTTTTTCTGCATCATTTTTCTGTTTGTGTGTGTTCGAACCAATATTTGTATTTGGCACTGAGAAAAAAAAGATGAATCAATCGACAATTTGTATTTTGGAAGCAAAAAATATATATGAGTATATTGAACGAGGATTGTGTGTCTGAAATATATATTCTAGAGTGGATGAAATTCATAGAGTAATTTTTTTGAAATTTTTTTTTGTTTTGTTTTTTATTTTTTGGTTATAATTCTTAGTTGTTTGGTCATTGTGGACAATTATTCTTTCTCTCTCTCTCTCTCTGGTGTGTGTGTGTGTGTGTGTGTGTGCGTTTGCAAGCATAGAATATTTAACTAAGAATAAATAATGACAAGAATAATGAGAATAATGTTGTCACAACGGTTAACATATAACGATATTGTTCAAAACTATTCACACCACCATTACATTTACGATTCCAATAACGGCGTTTCAATTCATCTAAACGGCCATTAGCTTTTAATTCACGTATAGCACGATTCATTATCTCCAAATGTGTGGAATATTTTTGTCCAATTATACCATATTCGTAATGTGTATCGGCCATTGGAAAATTTGTTGATTCCAATTTAATATGTTTTAATTCGCAATTTTCATCCATTGCCAATTCATTATTAATACTTTCCTGTTTGTTGTTGTTGTTTTTTTTTGGAAATGAAAAAAATCATCAATCATCAATTAAAATCCGACTTATTACCTGTATGAATGCATATGGTGTTTTCATTGCTCTTTCAATGCCTATCTGACGATTTTCGGCCATATTACCAGGATTATTATGCAATTGTTCATAAATACGACGACTTAATGGATCGGTACCGACACTCAAATCTCGATAGATTTGTCGTACAGTACCTAATTGTATTATTTCTTCTGGTTGTTGCTGTTGTTGTTGATTAGATTGCTGTGATTGATACGATTGTTGTTGTTGATTTACAACCGGTATCACTGCTGGTGGTTTAGACCGTTGATCCAATAAGTCATCAATAGTTTTGATATTATTCTGTATGATACGATCTTTATGTATCAATGCACTCAGATTTGATTCCATATATGAATCACTGAAATCAACATAACGTTGTTGACTTGCCGTACGATATAGATAATCAGCGATTGCAAAATCAACTCTCTAAATTAACCATTGTAATCAGCGATATTTAGAGAAAAAAATAATTACTTATCATTACTTACATTACGGAAAACTTCATTAATCAGACCGGTTGGACGACTTTGAAATCCATCATTTGTTGAATCCTGATTAACCGAATCGGTTAATGTATAATTAAAATTACCAATTTGTGCCATTTCATTCAAAAGATCAACAAAATAGCCAGTTAGTTTGCCATTCAAATCTTTTTCAACAAATGGTGGTCGCTATTGTCGCCATAAAAATTTTAGGAGAAAAAATTCAAATTTAAAAATGTCAACATTTTAATCTATCTTCACACAATCACATTCAATAAATCAAATTTAAATTAATTAAATTGATTGAATATTACACTTACCAATGTTGTTAAACCACGCAATGTTGGTCGATTTTGATTAGCTGGTTGTGCCCATATTGACATATTGGTCATCATTGCAATTGCAATGAAAATTAATATTATTGATGAATAAGGTGGCATCTTTTCTCTTTTAGTTGTGATTGTTGAAATTTGAAATTCAAAACAAATTTCTTTCTGGTCACAAATTAATATCTGATAAACTGTTTCACAACACAGATACACAAACACACAAAGAATCGTTGATGGTGATGATGGCCTAGTTTAACACTTAAGAATTCAATGATTTAAAATGAAAATTCTTTTTGGAATGTTTTTTCGATGTTAAATGATAATATTCTATATGTGGTTCGTTAGTTTGTTGTTGTTGTTGTTATTTTTCCTAGATCAAAACCGAATACAATTGAATAAATGAATGAAATGAGCCGACTCACTTTGTTGTTCCATTTGGAACATACTATTATAATGTATTACTAAGTAGAGTGAGTGAGTTGTAGCAAAGTTTTAGGTGAAGGTTACCGAAATGAACAATTTTTTTCGCGAAATATATGGCGGGTACATTTGATAGTGAAGGCGGTGGTGGTGGTGTTGATGGTAGTGGCGTTTGATTTTCAACTATACCCGTCACGTATTTATATACATTGATGATCATATAGGATCCATTTTTGAATGAATGAATAAATGGATGGCCTTGGAACACAATATAATGACACAATAACAACGATAACAACAAATAAAAAAATAAAATATTTTTTGGAATCCTGAAATGAATAGTGGTGATGTTGGTGCCGATGGCTGGTGATGCGAATGTTTTATGTTGTGATGCTAATGTATTTTGTGTGTGTAGCATCCAATCCATATATAATAACAATTTCAAGTTAGAAAGCCAAATAGTACTGATTTTCAATTCATGGTTGTGGTGGTGGTTCGTATTGATAGTTTTCATAGTATTTGGGTTCGTTTGATAAGTTAGGCTGAAATGTGGATGTCATCATCATTCATTCGTTCGTTTCAGTATGTGATCTATGAAGCTATAGAATGAATGGTATGTTTTCAAGATGTAAATGAAGATGTGTATTTATTGTTTATATATTCTTGGGTGGTGGTTTTGTTCGTTTTTTTGTTTGAGTTCATTTGTGTGTGTATGGGCCCAATGCTAGGACCATCAATATTTGGTGAATTTTTTTTTAAATATAAAAGTTCACCAATTTTTTTTTTGTTATTGTTGTTATTGGTTGATATTAGAAAACCAAATCCCAAAAATTGAAGCATGTGACTATGATTATCATTTTTTTCGGTTTTTGTTTTATTTTTGCTCATTGTAATGCGGTATTATTTTATTCTGGCTATATATTATGTTTGGAAAATATAATATGTGTGTGTAGGAGTAGAACCTAGCTAGCTAGAAATGAATTTTCTATTATTAGTTTCTTGACTATCTATATATATAAAGGAAGACAATTTTATTTTCTAGTTGACTCTCTTCTTTTCTCTCTCTCTCTCTCTCTCTCTCTCTGGAAAAAAACACGGTCATCATATCGTCATTGTCCTTGAGCTAGTTATTTTGATTTTGTTTCGTGAAAAAAAAGAAAAAATTCTGCCCTCCCGGAACAGATGTGAAAATGTTATCGTTATCATTATTTGTATACCATTTTTGGATTTTCGGAGCATGTTCCAAATAGAATTAATAGCCATTATAGATCCAGTAAGATTCAAGGACTTGAAAGGGACTTTTTTCTCTTTCTATTTCATTTCTTTGATATTTTTATTTATATGAATCAATTTTATCAATTTTTTTGAGTGAGTGTGTGTGTGTATATGAGTGTTGATCGTGTGTACATTAAACCAATGAGAATGAAGAACGGATTGAATTAAGAATCGATCCAGGCAACGAGAAAAAAAAGGAGAAAAATCAACATTGAAAAATATTTTTTATATAGTAATGAAGCAAACAATAAGAGTGAACAAACAATTTTGTTCTAAGGTTTTGAATTTCAATTTTTTCTTTACTTTGCTCCAATCAAATCGAATGATAATCCGAATTTCCACATCCCTAAAAAAAATATTCAACTGATAGTTTATACATTTATGTATCATTTATTTTTTTTTATTTTAGAAATTCGAAACCAAAAGAAAAAAAATGTTGAATTGCAACCAAATCGTTCGATATGGTTTGATTTATTATTAATTAAAATAATACTGATATATAATAATGATGATGTCAATTTTGTACCACCATCAATTATCATCAGTATAGAGAAATAAAAATCAAATTTGAAAATGTATAAAAAATGTTAATCAATGTCATTGTGGATGATGATGCAATAAATGAGCCATATTCACAATAATGATGGTGAAAAAAAAGTTATCTAGGTATGAATTTTCAATTAATTAATTGGATCAAACAAACAAGATTTTTTATTTATTGAAAAAACTCAACAATCAATCGATTATCGATATCAAATTATATTGTCCTTTTTGCCTCTTTCGCTTTGAGTGTGTGCGTGTTAATGATAAATGATAAAATTTTTCTGTAATAATAATGTCATGATTTTGATAATTATGGTAATTATAATTATGAGAAAAGTGGAAAGATAAAACGAATAAAAAAAATTAGGCGCGCTAAAAATTTGAATTAAAATACAGTGCGAAATGGATGGCCCAAAAAAAATGCTCAACAAAAGTTTAAAATTCATTACCATTATCATTGATTGAAATGAATAGCATGGCATTAGCGACATGAAAAAAAATCATAATTGTAAATTATCATCATTATCAATGTGTATGCCTCTACCAATGTATGTGTGTGTGTGTGTGTTTGACAATCGATAATTGAATTGATTTTTTTTTGCCTGTTTAACTAGTTAGTTGGTCAAAATCAAACCAAACCTTCAAAACGATACGCATCACACCACTATTACCACCACCGGTATGATATATAAACACTTGTTGTTTAATTCATTCTGAATGAAACATTCATAGCACACACACACACACACCATCGATATACACAAAGTACTGGTTTTCCTTGATATTATCATTCCGTCATATTCATTGCTAAAACATTGTTTTTTACAGGAAAAAACAGACAAAGACAACAAATACGAGCGAGAAATAATTCACATTTACCACATTTGACACGTCAACAAAGGAAACGTTAATTTTCTCAACAAAAGTGTTGATTTTTTTATTTGTGTTTTAATTCTTCAACAAAATTATCAAATCTCTTCAATCAAAATGGAATCTTCAATTTTATCATCATTGGAACAACTTCGTCAACATGGTACGATTGTCGTTGCCGACACAGGTGATTTTCAATCAATAAAATCATTTAAACCAACTGATGCTACAACAAATCCATCATTGATATTGGCCGCATCAAAATTACCACAATATTCACATCTATTCGATAAAGCAGTTGAATATGGCCGTCAATATCCAGAAAATTCATTAGAATCAGCTATGGATTATCTATTCGTATTGTTTGGTCAAGAAATATTGAAAATTATTCCTGGCCGTGTATCGACCGAAGTTGATGCACGTCTTAGTTTCGATATTGATGGATCCGTACAAAAAGCTCGTAAAATTATTGAATTATATGAAACAATGGGTATCGGAAAAGATCGAATATTGATCAAATTGGCCACCACATGGGAAGGTGTAAAAGCGGCCGAAATTCTTGAAAAACAATACGGTATTCATTGTAATATGACATTATTGTTCAATTTTGCACAGGCTGTTGCATGTGCCGAATCAAATGTAACATTAATCTCACCATTTGTTGGCCGTATTTATGATTGGTATTGTAAACGTACAGGCGTAAAGATTTATGAAAATCCAGCTGATGATCCAGGTGTTAAATCAGTGACAAGTATCTATAATTACTATAAACATCATGGCTATAAAACCGTTGTAATGGGTGCATCATTTCGTAATATTGATCAGATTAAATCATTGGCTGGTTGTGATCTATTAACAATTGCACCATCATTATTAGCACAATTAGAAGCAGAAACAAATGTACAAATAAACTGTTATCTGGATCCGAAAAAATCCGCCGAAATAGATACATTTAAAACACCGGTACATTATGATGAAAAACGTTTTCGTTGGGAATTGAATGAAGATGAAATGGCAACCGAAAAATTATCCGAAGGTATAAGAAAATTTGCTGCTGATGCACGACAATTAGAAACATTGATTAAACAACGATTGTCATAAGAAGCAAAAAAAAAAATTCAATTTTACATCAAGAAAAAAAACATTGTCAAACAATTTTGCTAATCAAAATTCAAATCAATTTTTTAAATTTCAAATTTTATTTGTTTTTTTTTCTAAATAAATAAATAAAAAAAAATATACAGATCAATGAAATTTGATTGATTGATTAAATAATCAATCGATAGATAGAATGATTATCATTTTCATCATAAATATATTATTATAAAAATAAATTTTTTCCCTTCCCCAAAAAAGGGACATGTTAAAACCAAAAACCACGGTTAGGGCCATCAAAAAAAAGCCAAATGGACAGATACGACAAAAAAAAATTCAATCATCTTTCCTAAGTATTTGTTTGTGTGTGTGTGTGTGTGTGTGTGCAGATTGATTCCCAGTTAAAAAAACAAACCTTTCAAACATACATAAATTAAAAATAAAAACGTGGACATTCATTTGAAAAAAATGTTTGTGTTTCGAAATCAAAACAAACAGAAAAAAAATCCTAACATACATCGTTTGTGTGTGTGTGTGTGTGTTTATGTATCAAAATCAGTACGATAATCTAAACATTGATCGAATGATAGAGATTAGATTACAAGATTGATTTAGCAGAAATTTCGAAATTTGTTCCTATACAAATCAATCTTCGAATAAATAAATCATAATTAATATATAATCACGTCGATTCTTAATATAACGTGACGGAAGAGCCGTTTAGAGAAAAAAAAGATTTGAAAATTCAATATCTTAAATGTTGGATAGATAGAATAGAATATTACATCACATCATGCTACACAAACACGCATATAAAAAAAATTGTCAATGATTAGGAAATTTTTCTCCAGATACATCTAGTCAATGAGTACGTGCTGCTTCTCTTGCTGCTAATATTAATGGATTTAATGTTGATAACGGACTTGATGTCTTCAAGAATGGATGCTATAAAACGAGATTATAGTTTATTATGTAATGGGCGTGGGTATGAAAAGAGAAAAAAATGGAACAAAAAAAAATTCAAATTAAATAAAATGAAACACGCGATCGATTTCCAAAAAACATACTTTTAGTAATTCAGATGCTGACCATCGTTTTTCAACATCACACTCAAGGCACTTGTCCAGGAAATCTTGAAATAAAAGCGATAATTTTTCTTTCTCTTTAATTTCCGGCTTTCCATTTGTTGCGATCAGATAAATAGCCTGTAGTGTGAGAAAAAAAAACATTAAAATCTGAAAATGAAAAAAAATCCTAATCATACCCGTAATGGATCACTTTCGTTCATATATGGTGGTTCACCTTCAATCATTTCGATGGCCATTATACCCAGTGACCATATATCAATTTTTGGTCCATATTGTTTACGTGTAACAACTTCCGGTGCCATCCAATATGGCGTACCGACCATTGTTGTACGTTTATTTTGTTCGGGTGATATTTGTGCACAGAAACCAAAATCAGTCAATTTTACTGATCCATCAAGGCCTAACAATATGTTATCGGATTTTATATCACGATGTATAACATGATTATAGTGAAGAAATTCCAATGCTTGCAATACTTCACGACAAACGGCAGCAATCTGACCTTCTTCCATACAGGTTTCAGTAACCACATCGGTTAATGATCCACCGCTTAGATATTCCATTACTACCCATAATTCTTCGCCCACTAGATATGAATCCAGATAATTCACTACATTTGGATGTTTATTCTCACGCATCACAAGTATTTCATTGACAATCAATTCTTTTTTTGGCTGTTGTGATAGATTCATCTGTTTAATAGCTACTTGCATTCCGGTACTAATTTCAATGGCCGTATATACAACACCACTTGCCCCTTGTCCAATACGTTCCATTTTAGTAAATTTTCGATGTGGATCACCGATAGTAACTATTGATCGTAATCGTTCTAAAATCTCGTCATCAGACATTTTATTTGCAGCGATTTGATTCGGTTTAGGCACACGTGGTTTCAATAGTGGTGTCGGTGGTGGTAACATTGATGATTGGACATTATTATTATTATTATTATTATGAGAATGTTGCTGCTGTTGTTGAAGTTGACCAGGATTCATCATCAGAATCGTTTTGGCAAATGCCGCTGATTGAGCTGAACATAATTTGGAACAAATTTCATTATTATTATTATGATTAACGATTTTTGATTTATTAATAGGTGATTGATTAGATGATACAGGCGTAGATAGTAAGAATGGATCAGTATTATTATTAGATTCAATCAAAGTATTAGGAGAATTATTATCGGAAATGGAAGCGGAAATAATTTTAGCATCAACAGTAGTAGAAGTAGTAATAATGGTAGTAGCGGAAGCAGTAGAAATTATAAGAGCAGAATTTGTATCATCATCATTATTGTTCTTACCGATTGTCATGTTTTGATTCGAATTATTATTATTATTATTAAGAATATCACGTGGTGAAATTGGTTTCGTATAAATGGATTTTGTTTTTTCTGGTCTAGGATTAATTGGCGGCGGTATCGATGATGATGACTTATTATTATTTATGTTGATAATTGATTCATTTTGATTCAAATCTATTGATTGTAATTTCTTCAACATTGATGATGAAGATGGTGATATTGTTTCGGTTAACGATGGCAAAGCAGCAGAGCCGACACCACTACCATTACTACCAATACTATTGCCACTATTCGATAATTTCAATGCTGGTCCACCACCACCACCACTTGCTGATGAAAAACAATTCATCGATGATGAACTTGATATTGAACCGGAACCAGATGATGATAAAATTGATCCAATTATGGTTACATTATTATTGTCGATTCCAGTGGTGGTGGTTACCACCCCTAAGCCACTACCGGCCAATGTTGATGAATTTGTTGCCGATGTTAAAAGGCTACATGCTGATGTTTGTCCGGTTGCTGTTGTACAATGTATATCATCTGATGATGATGATGTTGCTGTTGGACTAGTCGAACCACCGGTAGGGCTGGTGGTTGTTGTTAAAGTTGAAAATGTCGATAATGACGATGATGTTGATGATGATATTATACCAGTTATCGGATGCTGTTGTTGCTGCTGCTGTTGTACGGTCGTTGATGATGATCCAAGTTTTGTTCCAGGTGCTCTTGGTGGTGTCGGTGGTAGACCGGAATTATTTAATTTAGTTTGAGGCGTTGGTGGAGGTAATGCTGGTGATGGTCGATGTTGATACAATGATGACCCTTGTTGTTGTTGTGTTTGTGATGTTGAAAGATGTATATGATGATGATGGCTTGGATGATATCCACCACCATGATAATGATTATTATTATTATTATAATGATGGCTTGAAAGTGTTGGCTGTGAACCAGATAATAATAATTCATTATAATGATGATGTGGATGTCCATGATGTGTATGATGGCCATGATGTAAAAAACTATTTATATGATGATGTGATCCAGATATTGATGATTTATCCGATGAGGAATGTGATGTTGATTCTGTATCTAAAAATTATTTGTGTTATTATTATTGTTGTGTGTTTGAATCAATCAGAAATCAATACAAAGAAAAAGAGAGAGAGAAAAATAAACAAAAAAAATGTAAGAAACCAGAAAACCAAAATTTGCACAACACAATAATTGCCCAAAAAATTACAAAAAAAACCGGAAAAAATAGAAAATAAAATTTCAAAACAAATTAAAATGTCAACAAAAAAAACTAAAAATAGCCAGAAAAAAGCAATATATAATTTTCTTCAAAAACAAAAAAAAAACCAAACATTCAAACATACAATATTCTAATTCTAAAATAAAATAAAACACCAAGCAAGCAACACCCAAATTGCATTTCAAACCATTTCAGACCAATTTATCATACTATAAAATGTCTCGTGTGTGTTAGTTTTTTTGCTAAAAAAAAAGCTAAATTTAGCCATTTCTTATTTTTTTTGATATAACGTAATATAGTATATTAATCTCCCGAATATTTTCTGTCATCATCATTATTATTATTATCAGTGTAGAATTCTATTTGAGACTTGTCGTATTTAAAAATCTCGGAAAGCTATGTTACAGTTTTGACGATAGAATTCACAATTATATTGACCTAGCTTATTTGATACAACCTACGACATTTTTTTTTCACAACGATTATTTACAAGAAAAACTGTTGTTCAGATTATGGTGATGTTATTGACGCCTTTCACTATGCATATGGCTAATTTTAGATTTTTTTTATGGTGGAGAAAAATTTCATAAAATTCTCATATATAATTTATTTTTTTACTCTTCATTCACACACACAAAAATAAATAAGGAAAAAATGAACCCTGAAACAATGATCATCCAATTATCGAGATTACTTACCCATTGTCATATATTTAAATCCCTTTTCCATAATATCTTTTTTTGTTGATTCTTCATACCATTTGAGCACTTCGATCACAGCTTGTGGATTTTTCTTTTGTTCCAATTTTGAAATATTGGAATTTTTCAACATAACATACCAATTTTTTGGCATACCAGTAAATTCACCAGTATTCGGATCGAAACCAACATGTAATGTATGTTCGAAATTTGTTGGTGGTGATATGATTGGTTTACCACCACCACCGCCACTTTCCGATGAATGATGCTCAGATGTTGTTGTTGCTGCTGCTGTTGTTGATGATGATGATGATTTATTACGGCTAAAAAATCCAACACCACTAATTGTAAATGTACCATTTGTACTACCACCGGAACCACGATCAGCTTCCGATGAATTTCTTGCAGATGATCCATTTGATTTCGAACCAGAATTATTATTAGCGTTATTATTATTATTATTATTGTTGTTGTTATTTGCCGTTGTAGATTCATTTGATGAAGATTTTTTCATTGAACTTCGAAGTTTTGATTTTTTAAATGCCGAAATTTTCTTTCCTTCTTTACCACCACCAATATTATCCTCTTCGGATGGAACTTTTGGTAATGGTCGCATATCCAATGGTATATTGTTATTATTATTGTGATTATTCGTAATATAATCGTGATTATTATTATTGTTGTTTAGATTATTATTACTTCCGTTATTATTATTAACTTGATTCAATGGTATGATTGGTACGATGGAATTATGATCACGAGCTGATGCTAATCGTACCGGTGGTGCCGGTGGTTTATCTTCAAATCTTATAGCCGATGATGATGATGAAGAAGATGTTGTAATCGGTGTGTTCAAATGTTGCGATGTCGCCGTTGCTGTCATCATCATCATCATATTCTGTGAAATAATACTATTTGTTGCTACTGAATCATATGGGGTGGATCTACCCGATGATGATGATGTTACACCACTACCACAGCCCCCAAGATTACTACCATTACCGTTACCACCACCAGTTATCATTGTTTTCAAATTTCGATATCAATGTGTTTTGTTGTTTTTGTTGAATTTCATTTACTATTACAATGATGATGATGATAATGTAGTGTGGTATATAGTACGACGTTGATAAGATGAAAATTATAACCGATTAGTTCATAATATAATTCATTTATTCGAAACAAAAAAAATTTTTTTTGACCATCCCATATCGATGACAAACAATTGATAATAATTTCATTTGATTTGAGTTTGGAAATCTGTCAATCATAATAAAAGAAAAAAAAAAAAAAAAAGAAATTCATCAATAAATTAGTCGAAATTTGATCATTTATTTGTATGTATATAGAATGGTTGAAAACATTATATTGGAAGGATGGGAAATGAAAAGCAATGGAATGTATGATGATGCAAGACAACTTGTATGATTATTATGATGATTTTGTTGATGATACGATAAATGGTTTAGAAAATCTAAATAAATAATGATGATGATCATCATCATCATCATCATAATAATCATCAATTATAAACAAAAAAAAAATTGACAATTATACACATCAGACATCATCAATATATATCTAATGTAAATTATCATGACAGAAAATTTTTTTTTCTTCTGGTGAATGAACGCAAACACAAACACAAAAAGTAAAATGAAATGTTGATATCGTTGAATGAAATTCGAAACTAAATTAAATAAATTTATTACAATTTTTTTTAAATTCATTACCTTTTCTCTAGCAAATCATCATGATATAATCATGGAATCGAAGGTTTCCAAAAATTCAAAATTTTACCATAAATTGATATGTACGATTCATGGAATTGTTTTGCAATGAATTTGGATTTTGAATGATTAAGAACAAACAAACAAACAAACAAACAAAAATATATTATTCTCATCAAATGTTATTTTCATTCGTTATGAATGGAAACACACACAATACAATAACACAACGGATATACCTGTATGTATTTTTAGATTTTGGAATATTCGATTGAAATGATGGTCAATTGAATGGAAAAAAAATACAAAGCCCCAATTAGCTCATATGTTGACACCAAAAGCAGTAACAAACAAATAAAAAAAAATATAAAACGAGTATATATACATGCAATACAAACACACAGACAGAGATGTGAGTCAACAAGAACACCATAAATACAGCCGGATTCTATTTATGAGCAAAATGACCATTAGGTGGAGCTATCCAATGTATCACGTGATATTTGTTTTCAATGATTTTGAATATAACGACAATATATCATCATCATCACAATACCGCCTTCATATTCTCTTTGTGTGTTTGTTCGACCGCGGTATATATGTGTGTTATATATAATGAGCACCAAAATTAATCTTAAAAAAAAAAAAATTTTTTAATTCAAAAAAACCATAACCTTTTTCATTGACGCATGCGTCAACAAAATACGGTCATTATTTTTTCACAAGAATCATATCTGAGTGTGATATATAAAATTTAAAAAATAAGAATATTCTATTTTATTATGAAATCATCTATAATAATATAAAAAATATAATTTTTTTAAAAATTGAATAGAATTTTAAAATCTGTATATAGATGTGTGTATACAACAATAATAACAACAACAAAAACAACAACACGAATACGATTCGAATAATTTTTCAATGAAAAATTGATTGATTGATTGAAATAATTGAAAAGAAAAAAAATAAAGTGCGACATATTATCACTTAAACTTGAGAATGACATAATTGCACTTTTATGATTGATGACGATGCTATTCTCGTTGTCAGTAGTTTTGGGTCAATTTTGAATTGTATTTGTTGTTGAAATGAATTTTGAACTCTGATTTCTTTTAGTTGGTTTGTTTTATCTTGTTCATGGAATACTGTGGTTGAAAAAAAGGGAAAAATAGAGAAAAACCTAGTTGTTATTATTATGAATATGGACATTGTTACTATCATGGCTATGATTATTATTATTGATTAATTTCATTTTCATCGCTGAATTTTCTACAAAGAAAAATGGATCATTTATAACCGATAGCCATTGTTGTTCTGGTTCTCGTAATGCATCTTTGGTTTGTCGAATATCATCCTTGATGGTATCGATTAATTCTTCTAATGAATTAAATTTTCTTTCCGATCGAATATAACCACAGATAGCCACCCGAATAGTACTGTTATAAAAATCTTCATCAAATGAATGTAATAAATGTGCTTCAAGTGTACGTTGTTTAACATCATTAAAATGTGGATTCCAACCAAATGAAATGACAGTTGGATAGATTGGATTTGAAGGACTTGTTGCTCGATAAATACTTAGATCTTCATTAGTATTTGTATGATCATTATTGTTGTTGATCGTTGTTGATCGTTGTTGTTTTGGTGGATCAACTAATTGAGCAAAGCCATAATAGATGCCAGATTCAAGATTAATCTTTTGTACAGCATCATGTTCAAGATTAGCTGTTGGGCAGCCTAATTTTTTTGAACCACGACCAAAACCATGTATAACACGACTGGATACAAATACAGGTTTAGTTAATTTTTTATGTAAATTTGGTGCCATTAGGAAATAAAAATATTCAGATTTCGATCTCTTGAATCTTATTGAACAAATTTTGACCGAGCAATTTATCGAATTGTACAATATAATGATTGAATAAATGGAAAATTTAAAACAGCTAGTTAATTTATTTTGACAGACAAATATCGATAGATCGAATGATGATGATGATGATTATGATGACAATTAGCGACGATATAATGTTTTCATTGTAACAAATTCCATTGTTATGACAATAATGATGGTTGTTGATTATAAATTCAATCTTTTTATATATCGATTGTTGGGTTTGGCAAGCAAATTTGAAATAACAATCATCATAAAACAAATTTCATTTTATCGTTTTTTTTGGTTGTTGACAACAGGATAATAATATAATAATGATTATGATGATGATGACATGATTTTATATTAATTAATCGAAACACAGACGGCGATAGGAAAATAAAGAAAAGTGAGAGAGAGAGAAAAAAAAGCCAATTAAAATTTAAATTAATGTCAAATTATTAATATTACCATTAATTGTCATTGATAGCAGTGATGATGATGATGATTAAATTGAAACCTTGAAATAAAAACCGTTGTTTTTATATATATTTGCCTATATCAGAGGGGAAATAAAAAAAAAGAAGACTTGGAATGTAACATGTAGTGATGAGATATTCATATGTGTAAATTAGTGACAATTTGATAATAATCAACATAATTCAAATAAATATATATGAATGTTAAGATTAATCAGGAAGGTTTTTTTTATACATACTTTAATTTATCGAAAGGATAATTATTTTTTTTGATGTAATAAATAACGATGATGATGATGATGATGATGAAAATGATAACTTGGAAACAAGATAATTTGCAACACAAAGACAAAATTTCAAAGGTCTAAATGGATTTTTTTTTGTTTCTTACTTTTTCTTTATCCAACTAGCAAAAAGAATAATTGATTGAATTCTGGTTGATAAAATTTTCAGCTGAATTATTTGTTGTTTCTCGGTCATTTAAAGAATTTATTTTTTTGAACAAAAAAAAACAGACGACATTTATTCATCATCATCATCAGCATTTATACAATAGACACAACACGTTGTGCTCAATTTTTTTTTCTTGTTACTTTACCTCAATTCTAATAGATTCTATAAGCAATCGATGGATGGCGCTATCATTATCATTAAGATAGTTCTTATATTCAAAGATTGTTGCCGAAAGATTGATTTTGCAAATTTTTAATTATTAATCAATCATTCAATTGGATTCTTCCTCCCACCAGGTTATGGTTGTTGGCTACAAAATCCGCTAACATAATAATGAATGAATGATTGAATTGATGAAACATTTATCTCTTTTTATAACTTTGATTTGCCGCTTTTTTCATCTAAAAGATTGAAAAAAACAAACCATTACAATTGACAACATATGTGTGTGTGTGTGTGTGTGTGATTAACCTTTAACATTCTCAGCATCATTTTTTGGAAATCAATTCGTTGAATTATCATTGCTAAAATGAAGGTAAGGGGTCCATTTTTTCTATTTTCGTTCACACCGAATCATCATCGTCATTATTATTGATTTCGAGATTCGTTAATTGATTGTTAATAAATGAATGAATGATTTCATCTAAATGGTTCGCATCGGACACAATCGAACAAAGGTCTATAAGGTCATCATAATTGTTTTCGGTTTTTCTTTATCTCTCTTGCTGCCTTTTTCTTTCTTCACCATGACCACAACCAAATAAGATAACGATAATACTTGAAAATATAAAAAAAAATCTTCAAATCAAACCAATCAATGTGTTTGGCAGCAACAGCAGCAGCAGCAGTCAATTAGCCCCTTTTTGATGTCGGCTGTTCTTAGACTTCAATTCGATTCAATTTATAATTTTCATCCATTCATATTTGATCAATATGAATGATGATGATCAAAATACATTCATTTTATTCAATCAATGAAGAAAAAAATTGATGGTCAAGCAAATTGTTTTCTATAGCTTAGCCTTTGATTGTATTTTTGAATTTTTTCCTAAATAAAATAAAGAGAAAAAAAATCCAATTATAAATCAACCAAACAACAATGATTTGAAAAAAATGATAACAATTAATACATTTTTTTTCCTTGATCAACATGTGTAAAAAATGTCCGAATCGGGCAACCATGATGATGATGAACATGCATTAAAACACTGTATGTAATTGAACAACAATAGAGAGAGAGAAACGTTCAATTGATAAATGAATCGACTGTTCGAGAATTGATTCTTTTCTTTTAATTTTTTTTTTTAGTTGTTGTTATTGCTGAACAAATAGATGAATTTATGATGATGATCCTTTTTTCCATACCGGCGATGATCAATTGATGTTTCGGTTTTTAAGATTTTCTTATTTTTTTTTTTTTTTGTTTTTCATTTTCAGCATTGGTGGCAACCAATAAAAATTGAATCGAATAAAATATACAATATAGATCGATCATTTCTATCATAAATATACCACATGGTCAAGTTTCTTTTTCATTCTTCCATATGAATCGAATCGAATTGGATTTTTTTGATTCGAATGTTTATAAATATTCTTCGAATGAAAAAAAAAACTCCTCATACATAGATGAGATGACCAATGTGGTTGAAAAAAAAATTTTTGTTTTGAATTTTTATCTATGAAGAAAAATCGTGGCCACACACACACACATTCATTCTTGGAATAATCATCATCGAATAATTGGTCATGAATTCACAGAAGCATCATAGATCACGATCATGATGAATGAATTTTCATTTTTTTTTTAAAAAAGATCAAGAACATTTTTTCGATTGAGTTCACCGAACCCTTTTTCCGTGGGTATGGGTAATCATTATCCATTCGAAAAACTTGATGATGATGATGATGAAGATTTGATGATTGAAAAAGATTAGTCAGCATCAATTTGTTGTTCAGTGATTTCAAATCAAGCAAACAATCATTTTTTGATGAATGAAATTTTATTTAATTTTTTTTTTTGATCTGAATTATAAAAATTTCGATTTGATTATCATCGACTTCAACATTGAATCAAACGATAAAAAAAACGATGCCGACCACATTATATTATATTCATTGAATGATTGAATGATGATAATAATACTATTATCAACATTTGAATGGCCAATTCAAAGTTCATTTATATTTGTCCATTCTATTTTTTTATTGTTGAATTCGTTACTGATGATAATGGAATTGAATGAATCAAAAGAAAATTTTTTTTTTTTTGTATAATGACAAGAATAGAATTATAAATTTGTTTAAAATTGTACTAATATTATTATTTGTTCAGTAGCCGCTCACCACGCGAACCACCATGTTATACAATGTCAAACATTTTGTTGTTGCCGTTGTTATTATTTAACTCAAAATTTTCAATGATGATTATGATGATGATGTTGACCAAACCATTCATATATCATACGTGAAACATTATTAGTGGTCACAGGTCATCATCATCATCATCATTATCGTCAATGGCGGTGGCGGTTAATATATCTACAATGATGTGGCGGCATCGTTACAAACAAAACAAAACAAAACAAAACACTGGTAGTCATGAATCAATGGAATTTCGATGTAAAAAAAATCGGAATCAACATATATGAAAAAATATTCAATCGATCAATCAATCAATCAATATTCACAAACAAACAAAAGAATTATTATTATGTAAAGAAGAACGAATAAAAAACGAATGAAACATTGTGTGTGTGTGTGTGAATTCGATTCGATTATTGATGATGATGGTGATGGTTTTTTTTTTTGTTAAATTTGTTGAATTTTTTTTTTATTTAAATAAAAATTCCATTCATATGAGAGCGACAAATGTTCATAATCATCATCATCATCATCATTATCCATCGGGAAATTGTGGTGATAATAAAAGAAAAAAAAAATCCGAATGAATTCGAATCTCTTTGGTTTTTTTTTCCAGAACAGAAATTGTTTGCACGCGTCAAAACCAAATTTTCAAACAAAACAAATAAATATGTAATGAATGATCAAAGAAATACCGATAATGCCTGCATACCAAACCTGTATTGATTTTCGTTATAATTCAAATTTGGAATATATAAAAAAAAATATTTTTGTCATTCAATCAATCAATCATCAAACAACAACAAAATACAATCGACAACAATAAATCGTCACAATCGGTCACCGACCTTTTTTTTCATTATTATTGTTGCAAACAAACAAACAAACAAACAAAAAAAACCACAAACCATTGTCATTATTCGATTTGAATCGATTCCTATTTCAAAATCATTAGTCCTATTTATTTTAATTATTATCAAACATTCATTATTTTTGTTTTCACTTCCAATCACCAAAAAAAATGTATAATTATGAAATGACAAAATTTTTTTTTTTGGTTTACTTTTGGTTTGGGAAAGAGGTGAAAGGGTAAGAGTGGACAGCTACATTGTACAGAATATAATAATGTTTACCAAATTACATTGTAATTGAATTATTGATTATCAATTATAGATGAAGAATTAAGAGAGAGAGAAAGAAAAAATTTGTGACTAGCACTTGATAAAGTAATAATAAATTGGTTATCAATAATCAATAAAATTAATAATTATTGTTATGTATGAAATGGTGTACAATATAAAATTAGTTAACTTTACTAAAAGCAGAATTGATTGTATTATTGGTGGAATTATTATTTTCCACACCATTCATTTGTTGTTGTTGCTGTTGTTGTTGTTGTTGTGAGTCAAATGAATTTGATTGTGTAAATTTTAAAAATGGATTCGAATGAAATCCAGCAGCTAATAATGCCTGATTATATTGATATAATGATATATCTAAATGACCGGGACCATAACCAATGAATGGATTCATCGCTGTTGTTATTGAATTTGTTTGATGTGTTGATGTTGTTGTTGATGATGATGATGATGATGATGATGTGGAAGTAGGAATTGGAATCGAAATACCCGGATGATGTGGAAATAGATGAGAATTATGATGATGATGATGATGATGATGATTATGAGGAGATCCAAACATTGCTGCAGCAAATTGATTAGTCGTCGTTGGATATGTTGTTAATGTTGATGTTTCTGTTGTTTTTGGTGGTGGTGAATCTATGATGGATTTATCATCATCATCGTGGTTTATAATATGGTATGGTGAATCGACATTATTTTGTCCATTCATTTGATTATTATTATCGATTATTGTTGTTGATGATCGTCGACGTTGATGTTTTTGTTGTTGTTGTTGAAATGAATCGAATGAATCACAAGAATCATTCGATGTCATATCAATCATCAATTCTGAACCATCATCATCAATTATTGAATCATTATCATTAAAATCATTTTGTCGTTGTCGTCTTTGTCGTTTATGATCATCGATTGTTGTTGATGATTGTTTTTGTTGTCGTGGTGAACCATTCGATGAAGAATGATTCGATTCACCATGAATATAATAACTTTCATGTTGTTGTCGATAATAATCAGGTGAACCATCATCAGAATTTTCGTTGCCAACACCACTACCAATGTATTTCGATTGATTTGCATTCATACGTTGATGACGACGCCATTTAGCCCGACGATTACTAAACCAGACCTGAATTTTTTTTTTGTTATGAAACGAAAATAAAAATAATAAGAATAAAATCAATCAATCAAGCAACAACAATTAAGATTAATTTTAAAAACTGTTGCCAACGGATGGATAATGGTCATTTCATATATTTTCAGAAATTCATTTGATGACACAATTTTTTCATCATGATGTTAAAAATCGTTCAAATGAATGTAGTCCAAAATAATCGCATTTTTACGACCAATTTAGTTTGAAATATATGGGCGCTATTGTCATCCAGTTATACAATTTAGTTTGATCTTATAAATCTGCTGCTGTTCGAAAAAATCGTGCAACTACATTCAAAGAGATAATGATGATAATAATATTAAAAACAACTTAATCGATCTGACCAAAACAACGAAAAACACCAAAGACATCATAAGATAATGATCTTAATGATGATGATGATGATGATAATCTCCTATTGGTCGCCCAATCGGACACACATTTCATTCAGCTATAATCATGATCTCGATTTTTCAAGAAACCTGAATGATATTTAAATTCAACCAAACCTAACAATGACACACTCATACAATGTGTGCGCCCATTGGACATCATCATCAAGTCAACTCCGTTAAAATTTGGCTGAAAAAAAAAAATGATAATGATGATGATCATCGAATCGGTAACAATGGAAATGATCATTGGATTTTTTTCTTTAAAACGATTTATTTTTTCCTTTTCTTCGTTTATTGTAAACTAAATTGATCATTTTTGAACAGAACTGGATGAAAACAGGAATACTTTACTACGGATGTTCAAATGAAATGATCATCATATTGTCAAAAAGATGGCAATCTTCAACTAAAAAAAAAATTCCTATTTTTGATACGGAAATTTTTTTTTTTTTTGTTATTTTCAATAAACAATCACTCCAACATCATCAAGATCGAAACAAGAAAATTCACCGATCACAAATGGATTTAACGATAATGATTCAATGATGATGGAAATGGATTGAATGTCCTGAAAAATTTTTATTATTCGATTTTTAAGCTATTTTTATAACTAACTGATAGTTTTGTGGCTTTTTTCCAAAATTTTAAAAATTTTTTTTTTTTTGGTTATTTCAATTACCTGTACACGAGCTTCAGATAATGATGTAGCCTGTGCTAAACGTTCACGTGTTGTTACACATGGATAATGTGTACGTTCAAATTCTTCTTCCAATACTTCTAATTGTTCATGTGAAAATGTTGTACGATTACGACGAAATTTTGTTGCATTTGCAGCAGCCGCTGCTGATAATAATGAATGATGATGATGATGAGAATGATGATGATGACCAGGATGTCCGGTTAATATAGCGGGATTTCCGGTTGGATCATGTCCAGTTGCAGCTGCGGCAGCAGCAGCAGCAAAAGCAGCGGCTGCTGCTGCAGGATTATTGATGCCCATAGCTGTAGCAAATGCATTTAAATGATGAGGATGTGGTGGGGGCAGCAATGGTAGTGATGGTTGATGGGCGGCATTCGGATATGTCGCTACATGACGATTTGATAGCAATGAATCTTGGATCGAATTTTCGGGAGATTGTTGTTGCTGCGATGGTGATGATTTTCCATTACATAATGATGATTCTTTATTTTCATCTAATTTTTTTGCCGATTTTGGTGATGATGAACGTGATAATGATGATGATGATGATGATGATACGGGTGATGATATATTCATTGCTGTTGTTGCCGGTGATTGTGATGATGGTGATCGATAATCAATTGATCCATTTTGTCTTTTATTATCATTATTATTTTTATGACTATCTTCATAATTTTCTAGATCACGATGACGATTATCGTCGATTTTGTCGTCGCTGTTGTTGATGTCCGGTTGTAGATTGTCTAAATGATTTTGAAAAAAAGTAGGAATCTAAATAATTAGGAATATTTTTTTGAATGATTTGGATTAATTAAAATAATTTGATCATTGATCATCATATTGCATGATACTGATGATAATGATCAATGTACAATTTAGTGATTGTTGAATAGTTATATTATCATAAACACAAAATAGCAACCTACCTTTATTCATTGATGATGGTTGTGATTCGTCTGTTTTAATCGATGGATTCCATAATGGTTTTTGTTTAACATTGTTTTCCTGTTGTAGTTGCTGTTGTTTCATCAATGATGGATCATTCTGTGATAATTTTCCATTATTAGCCATTGCTGCCATTGCTAACATTTGATGTAATTGTTGTTGTGGAAGAAATTGTGCTAATTTCTGTTGTGTAATTTGAAAATTATCGCCATTTGGATATGAGTGCATAGGTATTATCGGTGGTTTATTTGTTGTTTGACCATTTGGTGATTCACTACCACCATTCGTCTGTCCAAATGTAGCTGCAGCCATCCATGCTGCATATAATGGATTTGAAGCAGCTAATAATGGATTAACACCTGTAGCTGCAACGGCGGCGGCTGCTGCTGCTGCCGGAAGTATACCATTTGGACCGGATGGTGGATTTGTTGCTGCTACAGCATTAGGTGTGGGAGTGGTAGTGGTGGGGGTGGCTGAATTCACAGATACAGGTGTTGTTGTTGTTGGTGATGATTGTTGTTGTTGTTGTTGATAATGTACGGCCGTAGCAGCAGCTGCAATCTGATAATTACGTGCAAATTCTGCGGCTGCACGTTCAGCAGCACGATTTCTTAAGATACGATTTATACTAGATACCGATGGTGCTGTACTGTTAGTACATACGCCTATTATTATTTGAATTAAAAAAATTGAATTTTAAAAAAAATTTTCAATAACTCTATAAGGTTGGAACAAAAATGTGAGTGATGGGGGGTTGGAAGTCTTTAACTATAGAATAACTATAGAATCATTTTATAGGATCATTCAAAAAGAGCGATCTCATTTGTTCAATGGCTCCCGAATAATGTGATTTGTTATACACCGGGGATTGGCCAAATTTAAACAATTACCCATAATAATGATGATCATACCCACACACGAATACAGTGAAAGATATAGAATGAATAGCAAACACAAAAGAAAGAAATTATTATAATCGATTACGCCCTCTCTATATAAATATATATTGCTCCCTGTGATGTGAATTGTGCAACAAAACAGTATTATATAACTAGTTTGACTAGTGTTTTCTTTTTCTCTCTCTCTCTGTCTCTCTCAAAAGTCTTTAAATATAAACACAATTTGCGATAACCATGATCATTCATTCTGATAGAAATATTATATAGGTCTAAATTTATGACATATATTCATTCATGTCAATCAAATCAATTGATCAAATCAATATAAAAATGGTGGTCATAATTTTTCAAAATGTCAAATGTTTAATGTTGATTTATATTCAATCAACTTGAAAAAAAGTAAAATATTTGTTTTCATTACATACACACACACAAACAGACAGGTATAAATCATCGTCACGAAAAAAATCAGCCAACCCGAAATCCGAATATAACAACATCCAGTCAAACACTGTGTATGTGAAACAACAACAACAACAACAACAAAATACATCAAATATGAATACTTGATCTTTTTTCAGGTTGATTGATTTTTAAGATCATAGATCAATATGATATTGCATTTGGATAAAAACAATTGGGCAATTAATCAATTTGATCGAAATGTGAAATCGAAACAAACAAACAAAAAAAAGAAAATTTGTGTTTGTCCATTTTGTTTCGAAAACTATTTCGATTGTTGATGATGATGGTGGTCCAAATGATAAGAACGATTGCGTTGAGACCCCCTCACAAAAAAATATGCATATTTAACTTAGAGTTGTAAAGAAATATTACAATCTAATTAGGGCACACTCGTCTATTAACGACACATGAGATAAACGAAAATTGATTTTGAAAATGAGAATTGAAAAAAAATTTTCACCGGTGTGTGTGTTTGTGTGTGTGTGGAGCTCATAATTCATAGGGATAGTTGTCAGTTAGAGTACATGACCTATACAGCCTATTTTTTATCGGTTATTTTTGATCTAAACAGCAAAAAAAAACAACAACAAAGATCGATATCATCCATTTGATCGATTTTGGCTAAAAACAATTTGTTTCTCTTTTTCTTTCCTTGGCTACCGTTTTTGTTTTTGTTTTTCACTGGATTCTAATGTCGGGTATACACATGCATACATTCATCATCATTAAGATTATCGATTATATCAGACTATTATTATTACGGTATTTACGATTTATAATTGTATCACATATATTAGGCGGGGATGAATTTGAATATTCAGAATTTATGTTTGTGTGACTGAAAATAGCAAAATTGTTGTTGTTTTCATTGTCTGGGAACACAAACACACACACATATAAATGAACGAATGAACGAGAAGAAAAAACACAGGAAACGTGTGTCTCATTCGTTCATTTATACTTACCAAACACATACACATTTAAATTAATTGTCACTTATGGTGAGACAAACAATTAATGCCTATGTGCTATCAACTAACTAACTACATAGAGAGGTAAGCATTTCTGTTTTTTCGATACAAACACACACACATACACACACATCGATTTGTTTGAATCGAATCGATCAACCGTTTCTGTCGTTTGTAAAATATAGAACCACAAAAATTAAATTCATCAATATCAAAAATAAAAACAAAACAAAACAAAAAAAATCGTTTACCTTCAGAAATTAAACGTTCGCGTATTTCCCATGCAAATATGGTTGGATTTTCACGTTTATATTGTTCAATTTTTGCAACAACAGCAGGTGTAGCAACTTTTGGTTTGGAACCACCAATTACTGTTGATGGATGTTGATGTGATATAGCCGGTTGTGGTATTGGATGCGGCATATTTGCTGTTGATGATGATGATGGTGGTGGTGGTGGTGGTGGAAGATGATTTCCGACTACCGTTTGTGGTTGTTGATGATGATGATGTGATGGTGGAATACCAACAAATGGATTCAATGTATTGAATGTGTTGGCAGCACCACCACCAATACTATTACCTGGTGGTAAAAAATTATTATTTTGTAAACCAGAACCAACACCGGGTAATATTCGTTGAAAAAATGCTTGTGCCATTGCATGTGCTTGTGTTTGGTGATTCAAATTATGATTATTCGATAATAATGATGGTGGTGATGGTGATGATGAAGTATTTGTTAAATTTAAATCATTTCTATTGCCGACATTAATATCTGAACGTTGATTGCTAGTTGCAGTAGTGGTAGTTGTTGTTGTTGTTGATGATGATGATGATGATGAAAATGGTGACGGCTGTATCATTGAAAATGATGGATCAAAACGACCTGATAATAATAATGATGATTTAAAAAAAAAATAAAAATAATTAGATCAAAAAGAAAAACTTGTAAAATCAACAGGATGATAATTAAAAATCGATTCAATTTACACATTATATAATATATAACACCGGAACTTTTGAATTTCAATTTCAATGAAAAAAAAAATTCATTCATAATATAGCCAACAAAAAATATACAAACACGCCTCAATCATCATTACACACACACACACACAAACATCGGACATCTGGCTACTTACCAAATAATTTGCCTAAAGCTGCATTCTGTATGAATTGATTGGCAACGGCCAATTGTATATTAGCTGCAGCGGCAGCCGCTTTTATATTATCCATCATCAATGGTAACATCATTTGGGGTTGTTGTTGTTGTTGTCGATCTGTTGTTGTTGTTGATGTTGATGAATATTTATTCATTAACATTGTCATTGTTTCCAAATCCGGTTTTTGTTGTTGTTGATCCAAACAATTATCATTATTATCATCATTTTGATCACAACTATTATGATCAATATCGGTTCGTTCTCCATCATCATCATTAGCATCATCATGATGATTATTTTGATTTTGTTGTGTTTGTGATGATGATTCATTTGGATTTTTATTAACATCACAATCATCAACAATATTTGATTTTGATATTTTCATTTCCGGTGTTGATATTCGAGAATCTGATGATGATGATGATGATGACGGTGACGGTGATGGTGAATTTCGCTTTATTCGTTTTTTCATTGTTTTCGATTGAATCGATGTACACGATGATTGTGATGATGATCGACTACGATTCCATGATGATGATCGTTGTCGACGTCGTTGTCGATTATGATTATCCAAATCCATATTCTTATTATTAGTACCAATTAATCCATCGATATTGAATTTCAGATTCGATTTAATTGATTGTGATTGATTTGGTGGTTGTGGTGGTGGTGATGATTGATCAACTACATTATCATGTTGATCAACATTAGTAATATTTGTAGCAACAGCAGTTCGTATGTCCATCATGTTTGGTTTATCCGTTCGATCAGTCAGGTTGTATAAATAACGGATATATATCTCAGGTATCGGAATGAACAATTTCTATGCAAATTTTGAAACAAACAAAAAATCAATTATAAAAAAAAAATTATCAACAAAATCATGTTTGTTGAATATATATATGGGGCGTTATTGATCACGATTACGGATGCTGTAAAAAAAACAACAAAACAAAAAACAAAATTGAATTTCTTCTAATTTTCCGCTATGAATCCATGAACATGCTCGAAGAATCGTAGACACACACTTGGGTTACTTTATTACTGACCAATCAATTTTTTTTTTATTTTCATTTGATTAAATCATGATTATTATCATCCAAAGAAAAAGAAAACATTAACGCATTTAATTATTTAAAACAACAAAATGAAAGAAAGAAAGAGAAAAAATGAAACTCATTAAAATAAAACAACAACAACAACAACAACAACATCCTCGATGATCATCATGATGATTATCAAAGCTCAAAACAAAACAAAAGTTCATGATGATCATGATGAGCTTCTTGAATTTTCCAAACAAAAAAAAATCGATTTAAAAAACACAATGAATATATACATGGAAAAAACAACGCTGGGTTCAAATTACTTCCAATCATCAGCTGAAATTCATTTATCAGTAAAAAAAAATTCTCTGATGACTCTTGGATGATGATATAGTATGTAATATATTATAGTGGATTGGTGATGAAATGTGATTATGATGATGATGATGATGGTAGCGAATCAAATTAGCATCAATCATTATATCATCATCATCATCATCATCATCTTCAAGAAATGATCATTTTCAATCATTTTTTTTTTTTGACCATGATCCAAAATCGTGGCCTACCATCATCATCTTTATCGTACAGGTGGTGATTACAATAACGAAAATCTTTGTCTTTATCTCATTTCAAAACCTAATAATCGAATATAATATCTTTTAACCTAATCTATTCTTAAACCTGATCTAACCTTAATCATCATTGTTCGTGGCTATTATTATTTTGGCTAACCATCGTCATTTCAATCTTGATTTTGTGTGTGTGTGTGTGTAGGGGCTATAAATATACACACCACATATACATATATCCATTTGTGTAATAATAGATATCGAACGTTTGAATGAAGATTCGATATGAATCAAATGATTTCATTGAAATGAATTTATATTTTGAATATTTTCAAGTTTTTTTGTTTTGTTTCTCAAAATGATTATTATAATCCATCTTTGTCTTATTATCATTGTTATCAACATTGCCATCGATTTCGAATCGAATCGAATCGAATTCAAATTTCATAAACACGCAAATTCATAAAATGATAAGCATCATTGAAAGAATTTCAAAAATTTTTTTCGTTTTTTTTTCTCATTGCTCAAAACAATTGTCAGATTCATTCAATCATTGTCTATTCTTTTAACATTTGATATTCACACATTTTGATCAAAAATGAAATGTCGGTAATGTCGATCGATTCGAAACCAATGAAAATGAATATAAATAAATAAATAAATAAATAAATAAAAACAATCAAAATTCAAAATCAGAATGCCGCTCTTCAATAATCATATTATCCACAAAGAATACCATTATTTTGTCATGATGATGATTGTTTATTGTTGTTGTTGATGATGATCAACAAAGAGATGGTTGGACATTCGGATCCATCAAAGTTGATCATCACCCAATGAATTGTACACATGGAAAAAATTGTTCACTTCAAGCTTCTTCTCTTAATCATCATCATTATCAGAAAGCCGCCATTACCATTATCCTCATCCTCATCATCATCATTTTGATCGAGATCGATTGTTAGCCAAATGGTCAAATAGTCATTTTGTTTTTTTTTCATCTAATTCTTTTTTTTTGTGGTTAGAATTCTTTTTTTCATTTTAAATTTTTTCATCCAAATGGGTGCTCACAATAATATAATGATCAACCATGATGATAATGGGCGTTCTTTTGAACAGGGTGAAAATCGTGCATAAATGTTGATGATGCTTGTTGTCTGTTGTTGAGTAAGTAAGAGAGAGAGAGAGAGAGATATCCAAAATTCAATGTTTATCACCATTGAATTTCATCCCATTGAACATTACCATTACACCATTATATTATCATCATGATCAAAGAATGAATCACAAGCCGAAATAGCAAAAAAAATCATTGACCAAAACAGGGTAAATGCTTTTTCAATGATGATAACGTTGATGATGATAGTTTGCCACAAATATCCATCAATCAAGGTCAGAAAAGATGAAAAAAAATAAATTATTTAAACATCAAAAAAACATTCGACAACAACAACAACCACCACCACCACCACTATCATCATATGAAATGAATGAAAAAAAAAATTTTCATCATTCTTTATATAATAATGATGATGATCATCACCATCATCATGACCATTGGTTGGTGTTTATTATGGTTGTCGCAATTCTTTATCTTTAAAAAAAATTGAACCGAAAATGGCCAATGTCCGTTTATCAGTATTGAATGATCAAGGAAAATTTTTCTTTTTTTTGTTACAAAGAATCAAAATTATCTTCTTGACCAAAAATATATGAAGGTGTTCAAATATGTGATGGCTAATGATGTTCACTGTGTGTGTGTGTGATTTACCTGATCTTTACCTGTTTAAAAGTTGATTTTCTTTATCTTCATTCTTTATCATTATTTGAAATTCTTACTGATCAAGTAATAAAAAATAATAGTTATTCAATGGGTGCATATTATATCAAATTTTTTTTCTCTTGGACAAAATATCATTGAATTTATCTGAACTATCATCATAAAGTTTAAACAAACACAATCGCGTTTTTTTTTTATTTAGCTACAAACATATAATTTTCATATTTTTTTTAACACATTTCAATAAACCTGACCATATAGTGAACATGCATATTCACCATAATCTACTTTTTAAGACTAAAATTTAAAATTGATTTTCATAGTTACCATGTGAAACATATATTCAACATGATAAACAATTTCATCAATTTCACCATCACCAATGACCATTACTTACATATATAGCACAAACACATAGAATATAAGACAGGTGACAAATGAGACAAATTTTTTCTTTTTACATACTTTCAATTTAAAGCTGAAAATGGAGATATCAAAGATTTTAAATTCTTCTACAATGACAACTTATCCATCTTTAACTTAAAAAAATAATCAAACTTTTTACAAACTTTGTCAATCTCTGTCAAATTCATTCACATTGCTTGAGCATGTGTGTGTGTAGATTGAATTGATTTACTCAAAGATTATTTCAGATCATGCTCATGAACTTTCTAATAAAATATTCAAATTGTGAAAAATTTTTTTGACCATACCTAAACCATCAACAGGCATTTATAAGTAAGTAAGTGATATGATTTCACTATTTTCTCATTAAGAAAACAGCAAATTCAATTTTGAAAGCGAATTTTTTTCTTTTTCTCTCTCTCTATTCATTCAATTTTCTTCTGATGATTTATGTTAAGGTGATTGGACTGTAGTTGTCCCAAAAAAAATGTGAGCAATCAAGCAAAAGACTAGATTGATTGATAGATGGATAGATTGATAATAACAAAACGAATGATAATGATGATGATGATGATGATGGTCAAGAAAGAAAGAAAGTTCATTTCCCTAAACTGTAGAGAGTGAAAAAAATGTGTACAAAAAGCAAAGAAAAAAAACCATCTGACAATTGACAATTCCGATTCTATTCATAAGCGAGTTTTTTTTTGATTTATTTATTTTCATTCATTACTAGATATCGGCTTACAGTAATAGACTTTGTGTGTGTGTGTGTGTGCGTAAATAGATCAATCAAAATGATCAGATATTCAGGTATATGGTAATGCAAACAAAAAAAAATTTATGGGCGGTGTTTTGTTTTGTTTTTAGTAAATAAAAAATGTTTCATTTCAATTATACAAATCTTATCATTTAAAAATTGAAATTCAAAAAAAAATACGTTTAATTTTTAACCTAATGATAATCATTTCTTTGTTCTATTATGAACAATCTTCTTCCTTCCCATACCTAGATCAAATATCTGTAGAATAAAAAGAAAGAAAAAAATTCTTTTTCCAAAAAAAAAAACAAAAAGGTCAAATGTCATTCATTTTATTCACCACAACGATTATGATTTATGAGGTGTTTTTTTTTCTCAACCAGAAGCGTGTGTGTGTGTGTAATGTAATGATGGTAAATTGTGAGAAACGATGATAAGGATGTTGATGATGATGATGATGAAAAAAAACGAAATTTAAGTGGTCTAATCATCATCATCATCATCATCATCATAGCAATAACAACATTTTGAACATCTTTAAGAGATGCAATTATAACATGTATAATCCATCCATAAATAAATGCATTTAATACATTAAAAATTTTGCTTGTAACTTGATCATCATCATCATGAGTCATTTTTTGTTTTCTTTTCAAAATTTGATTGATTGATTTTGATTGATACTTATTGCTTTGCGTAAATTGATTTCAATTCATTTCATCCATTACCGAATTTTTATATTAACAAAAGAAAAACTGTTTATTTACTGCTGCTGCTAAATAATAATAAATAAAAAAATGTGTTTTTTCGGCATTTCTCTGTAATCCACCATAAAGCTTGAGGCAGCAATATCGAGCACTTGTTTTTTTTCTGCTAATATGGTACTTGCCAATGGCCATCAACATTCATAAAAATGTGTTTTATTTTATAATCTTTATTTTCTTTTCATCGAATCAATTTCCAAATGTAAGTGTGTAGGTGGAGTGTGCGGTGGCCAATCTTGAAATGAGCTATATAATGAAATTCATTATGATTATCTTAAGTAGCAATTGACCTTTGTTTTTAAAAAAAATTTGACTTTTTTTTTATTATGATTAGCATACAGTAAAAAAATGAATCATTTCTTTTTTTCATTTGTCAATTGATTTAAAACTGGCCATTATTCACGTGATTTGAATTCGTCATGAACATCAATTGAGTAAAGAGAAGAATTTAATAATTTTTTATTTAACAAACAAAACGTTAAATTTCGTAATCGTAATC